CTAATCAAGTGAATTTCAGTAGGGACAAATGTAAGGTTCTGCACTTAAGCAGGAAGAACCAGCTGCACAAATATAAGATGGGGGACACCTGGCTTGCCAGTAGTACATGCGGAAAGGATCTAGGGGTTAACCCAAGCCAGCAGTGTGATGCAGAAGCAACAAAGCTAAGGCTATTCTAGCCTGCATCAACAGATATATAGTATCCAGATCAAGGAAAGCAATAATACCACTCTATTCGGCCAAACCTGGAATACTGTGTACAGTTCTGGACAACACACTTTAAGAAGGATGTTGATAAGCTACAACGTGTGCAGAGGAGGGCAACCAAGATGATCAAGGGTCTGGAGACTTAGCCTTCTGAGGAACTGTTGAAGGAGCTGGGTATGTTTAGCCTGGAGAAGAGGAAACTGAAAGGAGACACGATAACTATCTTCAAATATCTAAAGGGTTGTCACATGTTCCAGCTTGTCAACATCCTTCTTAAATTGTGGCGCTCAGAATGGGACACAGTATTCCAAATGTTAGTCTTAAAGCTGAAACAGGGTTTTTAGAGCATGGCCGGTTACCGCTTGCTGTTCTGGCCACCCTTCTGAGGGGTACAGCTAGCTTTTGGGGAAGGTTTCAGCAGGATCAAACAATAGAAAGGACTGCTGCTTCTGCTATCAGTTTTCATTATTTCTCTGCACCCACCGTTTTAAAGTATTGCTATGTCTTGCATTTGTATCATGCAAGAGTTGACTGTTTGCAGGGCTTATTTAAAGTTAGGTTCTGCACAAAGCGGATTATGGGGCAGGTATACACAAGCCTGTTTGCAGCTGGTCTTTTTCCAGGAAGTTTTGAGATTCATCTTATTATCTTGGAATTTGGAAGCATGAATTAGCTGGTTGGCTCATCAAACAACCCTCAGCAGTTTCCCAAACTGTTTAGATTTAGTTCCACATTGTGTATGTGTTTAGTTTATCTCATAATTACTACATAGATTCTAGTGCTTTTGCACACATCTAGTCTGGAACAATTGTTGCTCACTCTTGAGCCTCTCTTCTTTCCCTTTCCATTCTTTTCCACACCCACCTCTTTGAGGTTCTGGACTTTCTTAGGCTTGACTATCTATCTTGTCCTTCGTGGCTTCTCCCTTTCTGCCCCTAGTTTTATTATCTGTATACACATTTTGGGGTTAGACCCTCATATCATATGACTATAAAACTACAATATTGTATGAAAACATGCTTGGAAGTCCCTCTTGGAAGAAGTATGGGGGGCCACCTCTCCCCATTCAAATTTCTCCCCAAAAGTACAGGGCAAGCCTCATACCCTTGTATCCAGCTAAAATACATAAAGAGAAGGGAGGGGAGTGAAAGCGGCCCTCCCTCTGCCTCTTCTCATAGATTACCCTTGAGAGAATGCAGCCCCCCACAGAAAGATGGTTGCACCCTCACCCCCCGCTTTAGCACCACCTATCCTATGCAATGGGACGCGGGTGGCGCTGTGGGTAAAAGCCTCAGCGCCTAGGGCTTGCCGATTGAAAGGTTGGCGGTTCAAATCCCCGCAGCGGGGTGCGCTCCCGTTGCTCGGTCCCAGCGCCTGCCAACCTAGCAGTTCGAAAGCACCCCCGGGTGCAAGTAGATAAATAGGGACCGCTTACTGGTGGGAAGGTAAACGGCGTTTCTGTGTGCTGCGCTGGCTCGCCAGATGCAGCTTTGTCATGCTGGCCACGTGACCCGGAAGTGTCTCCGGACAGCGCTGGCCCCCGGCCTCTTGAGTGAGATGGGCGCACAACCCCAGAGTCTGTCAAGACTGGCCCGTACGGACAGGGGTACCTTTACCTTTACCTTTAATCCTATGCAATGCAACCAGAGACATGGAGTGAGTTGCAAGTGAGCATGCTGTGAAACTGTAAAGTATCTGGTTAGTTTGGGCCCAGTTTTATAATCTTGTTATGGTAATTTTGAATTCCATCTTCTACAGCATTAGCTACCCCTCCCAGTTCAGTGTCATTTGCAAATTTGATGAGCATCCCCTCAATTCCTTCATCCAAGACATTTAAGAAGATGTTGAACAATAATACACACAGGTCAGAACCCTGTGGCACCCCACTTGTCACTTTTTCCAGGATGATGAGGAACCATTAATGAGCAATCTTTGGGTTCAGTCAGTCAACCACCTACAAATTCACCTAACAGTTACCTCGTTCAAGCCACATTTTACCAGCTTTCTCACAAGAATATCATAGGGGGCTTTGTTAAAAGTCTTACTGAAACCAAGATACATTATGTCCACAGCATTTCCCTGATTTTCCAAGCTTGTAACTTTACCAAAAAAAGAAATGAGATTTGTCTGGCATGACTTGTTTTTGAGAAACCCATGCTGGGTCTTAGTAATCACAGCATCCTTTTCTAAGTGCTCACCGACCGACTGTTGAATTATCTGTTCTAGAACCTTTCTGAGTATAAATGTCAAGCTCACTGGTCAGTGGTTACCTGGGTCTTCTTATTTCCCCTTTTTGAAGATGGGGACATTTCCTTGCCTCCAGTCTGCCTGGGACCTCACCTATTCTCAGAGAATTCTCAAAAATCATAGACAGACGCTCTGAGATTATGTTTTTAAGTTTTCACCATACATATACTGAAAACAGTTGCTGGTCAGGATGTTGTTGTTGTTGTTACTATTATTTTATTTATATCCTGTCTTTTCCCTGTATATAACAATCCACAATAAGCTATCAGTAACTAGTTTTTCAAGTCTGTACTTAGTAATTAAAATACAATTAAAACGACCTAATCATAGGCAACTAATTGAAACTACATAGTGACAAAACTCTTAGAAATGCCGTACTTGTTTTCCCACCACAAAGAGATGGTGAATAGCTGAGCTAACTCATTATTTGCAAACGACCTTTCAATTTAACAACACTGACAAGGCAGCCATAAAATACAAACACAGGGCAAAAGGAGAAAAAATGAGAAAAGACTAAACACAGCGCAAAAAATACAATTCCACAGGAGTGACAAGTATCACTGTTATTGTTCAGTGAAGTATTGCAAAAAAAAATAACACTTTAACACCTGGGCAGACTTCTCTGGACTCCCCCACAGAAAAGGCCCTATCAATAGCTGCCACTTGCCATACATCAAACCTGATAACCCGCCCCACTGTACTGGATTTGGACTTCACCCAAAAAGCCCCTCCCTCCCCTTGCTAAGCAGAACTAAAAATAATTTAACCAACCACACCCAGCCATCTCCCTCACACAGATCCTGGTGGGGCACTTTTAAAAAGTTACCACTGGTTTCCCGCTCTTCCTCCAAGGAACTGAGAGCAGTGTGTGTTTCTCTTTTCTATCCACACCGCTCTGTGCTGGGCTGCGAGCAACCGGTTCCATGGCTTAGGGGGAGATCTGAGCCTTGGGTTGCTGAGTCAGTATTCTGACCACTGACACCAGACGGGGGACAGACAAGCTGGTTCCAATTCATAATAATAATAATAATAATTTATTTATACAGCCAATTTTTAATAATAATAATATATTATTATTATTATTATTATTATTATTTATTTGTACCCCGTCCATCTGGCTGGGTTTCCCCAGCCACTCTGGGCGGCTTCCACAGAAACCAAAAATACACTAAAATCATACATTAAAAACTTCCCTGATAATCCCCTTATAATCCCCAGGGCTAGCTGGCTGAATTGGTCCTACTTGGGCCAGTGAGGAGGCCAGGGGAGAATTAGCTGTGGGGTCTCAGAGCAGGTGATCTTCAATTCAGGATACAAACCTGGGGAAGTTAACTTTACATCTTCGGTGGGGCTGTAGAGGATAACTACAGTATATGCAAAGGGCTAGCAAAGCGGATCTTTCCTTATACAGAGCTTTTATAAACAATGAATATGAACTGCTATTGTTACTAGTATTATTAAATGCAAGATACCCCTGTAGCTGGCATCTCTAAAGGTAGGAACTCCCCAGATGAAGTGCCACCAAAATATCCAATTCATCTGAAATGCTGCACTGTAAAACGTGTGGCTCTTCTGTTGTGAATTGGGCAGAGCGAGCGCCATTGGATAAGCAAGTGCAGTGGTACCTCGCAAGACGAATGCCTCGCAAGACGGAAAACTCGCAAGACGAAAGGGTTTTTGGTTTTTTGAGCTGCTTCGCAAGACGATTTTCCCTATGGGTTTGCTTCGCAAGACGGAAACGTCTTGCAAGTTTGTTTCCTTTTTCTTAACACCATTAATACAGTTGCGACTTGACTTGCGAGGAGCAACTCATAGCAGCGGTGTGGTAGCCTTTTTTGAGGTTTTTGAAGACTTTGGTGATTTTTGAAGCTTTTCCAAAACTTTTCCGAAACCGTGCTTTGCAAGACAAAAAAACCCGCAAGACGAAAAAACTCACGGAACGAATTAATTCCGTCTTGCGAGGCACCACTGTATTTGTATTCTGGCTGAGTTCATCTTTTAAAACTTTTTTCTGAATTAATTCACCAACGCTTGTGACTTGCAAGGGGGTGGGAAGGAAAGGTCTTCTACGTTTTTAAGACAGAAACATAAATGTTTACTTTTCTTTTTACAAAATAAAGTAGCTGCAGATTAAGGCCATTTGCCACTTGGCCAGTTTTGGCTCAGCCCGTGTGCGTTTGTGTTTATCCATCTCTCAGCTCAACCTATTTTGCAGGGCTGTCCAGAGTGCCAAATGGAAGCAATCTCAAGCCCAGGCTCATGGAGGGAGGAAGAAATACGTATGGAAGAAAAGAGCAACAAACCTCAAAACAGATCTCAAGAGGAGAAGCAATATAGCAACTCCTAGCCCACGTGGCAAAGTGGTGACGGTGCTGGATTAGGACTCCAGATCCAAATCCCTACTCTTCTTGTGAATTTCATAGCCAGGACCTGGGAGAGACCCGGGTTCAAATCCCACTTGGCCATGGAGCTCACTAGGTGTGACCTTGGGAGCCACTCACTGCCTCTCTCGGCCTCAGCTACCTCGCAGGGTTGTTGTGGGGACTAAATGAGGAAGGAGGGAAAATGCGGGAAATATAATTGCAATAAACAGAGAAAACACAGAATCGCCAGTTTGTATTTCACAACTTGCCTGGTGTCCACAGGTGGGAGGTAAGTGAATGAAACCATTAATTATTATTTTTTTACTAAGAGGCCAGTTGGGAGAGGGGCTTCCTCGCCCTCCTCCTCCTCCTCCTAGTCCAGGCGAACTCGGGGCTGCTCACTTTCCCCAGGCTAACTGAGAAAGCAGGCGGAGGAAGCGGAACTACCCGCCACTTGACACGGGGGGGGGGGAGAAGCGCCTCGTCCGCCCTCCCGCTTTTGGCCGCCTTCTGAAAACATTTCATTTTTTCCTAACCCCTTCGGACGACCATGTCCAGATCTGAACGAGTTTTAAAATCAAATGAAAAACAACAAAAAAACTGGTTTTACGTTAACTTTTCTTAAATGGGTAGTAACACTTTGGGGGTTTGTTTGTTCCCCCCCCCCCCGCTTGTTCTCTCGCTTTGAGGTCGTCCCTTTTCTTCTACTTTCATGAGGTAAATGAAACGACGCGAAACGAACCTGCCCCTCCCCCCCCCCGCGGCTCCCTGAGAGGATTTTTTTTTTTCTTTTAAAATTTCAATTTTACACACGGGGAAGGAAAGTACCGGAGGAGGGGCTCGTTCCCTTTCCAGGAGTTGGGCAGCGCCCCCCCCACAAAAAAAAACCACCAGAGGAAGAGCGGGGAGGGGAGGGCTGCCTTCCTGAGGTAAATCTTCCCGCGCGCCCGCCGGCCTACCTGCCGCGGGGCCTCCTCTCCGCCGTCCTCCTCGCGAGTCGGCCTCCGGATCCAAGCGGCTAGGCCTCCGTCGCCCCCGCGGCCCAAAGGACAGGAGAGGCGCCCCCGGCGCCGCGAGGGTTAAAAACTTCCGAACAAAATAGAAAAATAAAACGCCCGAGAAGCCAGAAGGCTGAGGCCTTGAAGCCCAGAGGCGGAGACGGCGCCTGAGGCGGAGAACTACGTTTCCCGGCGGGCTCCGCGCGCGGGGTGGAGGGGAGCGAGGGAGGGAAGGCTTCGTTTCCCGGCGGGCCCTGCGTGTCTGAGGAGTTTAAGGACTACGTTTCCCGGCGGGCCCCGCGGCGAGTGAGCGGGCGGGCGCGGAGGAGGCTCCGCCCACGCGGTGTGTGTTTCGGTTGCCGCGGCGACGGCCCCGCCCTCTGTCCGCGCCGCGTTCCAATGTGCAAGGCAGAGAGAGGCGGACTCGGCGGGCGAAGCGGCGGGCATGGTGAGTGCGCGTGCAAAGGGGGGGGGATGGAGAAAGGGATCCGTGCAAGGCACGTGGGGGGTGCGCGTGCAAATACCAGGATCAGTGCAACGCAGCTGCAGCAGCGGGGCTCGTGTGAAAAAAGGAGGAGAGCTTGGCACAAAGATGGGAGCAAGGAGAATTACCTGCGGGAAAAGAATGGCAAATGAAATTAAGGGACTACGCGGAATTAAGACAAATTAAGAGGAAGGCTTCGAAGCCTGCGGGATCAGAGAGTCTTAAAAGACTGGAGTAAATATTTGAACTGTTTGAAAAGCAATTGTAATCAACAGATGACGCTAGTAGGACTGCAAGGAGGACTTTGTGAAATATTGCAAGGAAGACCCTGAAAAGAATGAGTAGTTAATGATAATTAAAAGTAATAGAGAAATTAAGAAACGCAGAACAAGTTATAAAGAACGAAAAATCTTCAGAGGTTGTTGACGGAAGTCTAAAATATTGTATAAGATCAGAAGTTAGGTTAAATGATTGTTGGAAATGATATGTTAAAAAACCAGTAAAAATATATATAAAGGAAAAAAAGAAAGAAAAAGGAGGAGAGCGTGCAGGACCTGGCCGAAGTGCCGCATCCCTTCGTGCAATCGCTTTGCTGCTTCTTCATGGAATCACATTGCTTTGTAGGCCCTGCTGTCGGAGCAGCAATTTTGCAAAGCACCTGCCACAGCAGGATAGAGGCTCCCCAGCGTTGCATTGGGGAAAGAACTACAGTGGTGCCTCAGAAGACGAAATTAATTCGTTCCGCGAGTTTTGTCGTCTTGCGATTTTTTTCGTCTTGCGAAGCACGGTGTCAGAAAAGTTTTGGAAAAGCTTCAAAAATCACCAAAGTCTTCAAAAACCTCAAAAAAGGCTACCACACCGCGTTCTATGAGTTGCTCCTCGAAGTCAAGTCGCAACTGTATTAATGGTGTTAAGAAAAAGGAAACAAACTTGGAAGACGTTTCCGTCTTGCGAAGCAAGCCCATAGGGAAATTTGTCTTGCGAAGCAGCTCAAAAAACAAAAAAACCCTTTCGTCTTGCGAGTTTTCCATCTTGCGAGGTACCACTGTATGGGTTTCTGGTTTGTTTGTTGTTTTCAAGCCTGCTGGCTCTCATGTTTAGGGGGCTCCTCCAGGGTCCTGCTTGTTTGCAAGGTGATGGATCTGAACAGCTTTCCTTCCTCGTCTCTCAATGGAGCCCTTCTGCAATCCTCAGACTCCCAGCGGAGCAAGCAGCTGACTGCTTGGGGTTCTCTCTCTCCTTCAGGCAGTGCTCTGAGCGCCAGAAGCATAAGCGGCTCGGCTCGGGAGCAGCATTTCCAGCAAGAGCCTCCGCAGTTGTGGAGCACATGCGCCAAGGTGTCCCCGGGGCAACTCTCACGAAGCAGAGAGGTGCCCAGCTCAGTGGCAGAAAACCCCAGGTGGGGCTGGGAGATGGCACTGCTGAAACCCTGGGGAGCTGCTTCCAGCCAGTGCAGGCAATACTGAGCTGGGTGGACTAAAGGCCTGACTCCGTATTGGGTAGCTTGCCTGTGTATACAGTCATACCTCGGGTTGAAGTAGCTTCGGGATAAGTATTTTCGAGTTGCGCGCTGCGGTGACCCCGAAGTAACGGAGCGCATTACTTCCGGGTTTCGCCACTCATGCACGCGCAGTCAAAATGACGTCATGCGCAGAAGTGACAAATCGCGGCACGCGGGTTGCGTTCGCTTCTGGATGTGACCGGGGCTCCGGAACGGATCCAGAGGTACCACTGTATAGTAAAACCAATCTCTGTTTTTTATTGTTGTTTTACACCTTCGCAACCATTTGCTTTGCGAGGGCAGACTTCTTAATTCACACCTTGGTAGAATGGGGTACACAGCCCCACTGAATTGTTTGGGGGGGGGCAAATTCAGCTGTCCATATCTGGTAGAGACTTTTCTGCATGTTGGATCTCCCTGCTGATAATACGCTTTGCTTCTTTCTTTTTCCATCTCCCTCAGGCTAGTTCTGCGATATCGTTTCCCAGGTGAGTAGCGACCTTGACACAGTTTTGATACAGATTTGTGCTGTTAATAATTCTAAAAACTCTACTTGCTGCGGTTTTTTTAATACTGCAAAAACTGCATTTCCAGAAAGCTTTCTACTATCACCACAAGATTTATCTCCTAGCTAGTGAGAGCCGATTCAGAATTATTGTGTTGTTTATAGCCCACCTTTTTCTCCAAGGATGGGTCTTCCCCTCCTCATTTAGTCCCCACAACGACCCTGCAAAGTAGGCCAGGCTGAGAGGGACTGACCCGAGGTCACCCAGTGAGCTTCCTATGGCCAAGGGGGGATTCAAACCCTGGTCTCCCAGGTCTTAGTCCGATGTTCTAACCACTACACCCCACTTGCTCCTTCGTCTTCTTTGCCGATCCCTCGTAGCCGAGTAAGATTGTCTTCCATGAACATGGTTTTAACAATGAGTTAAGTGACTGTGGAGGCCAATTCTGGATCCACACGTCCTTCCACAGTGGGGACATAGGTTTCCAGGTGGGAGTTGATCACGGTGTGGATTTACCAAGTGTGCCTTCCTCTTAGCACGTTTCTCCCTTGCGTCCTGAGTTCGAGTGTCTTCAAAGCCCATGACACCTTTGGTAAAGGCTGTTCTCCAAGTGGAGCGCTCGCAGGCCAGTGTTTCCCAGTTGTTGGTGTTTATACTACATTTTTAAGATTTGCCTTGAGAGTCTTTAAGCCTGTTTTGTTGACCACCAGCATTACGCTTTCCATTTTTAAGTTTGGAATGGAGTAGTTGCTTTGGAAGACGATAATCAGGCATCTGCACAACATGACCAGAATCATTGCTTCAACACTGGTGATCTTTGCTTCTGCGAGAACACTGATATTACCGTATTTTTCGCTCTATAACACGCAGATTTTTTCTCCTAAAAAGGAAGGGGAAATGTCTGTGCGTGTTATAGAGCGAATGTGTGGTCCCTGGAGCCAAAAAATCAAGCAAAAGTCAAACCGCGAGTCACGGAGAAGGGAAACCTGAAAAGAGGAAGTGGCAGCTTTCCTGCATTCTGCCTCAGGGTCTTACTGCCCACCCCCCTCTGTTTCGTTGCTGTGATTGCTGAAACGGAACAAAGAGCAGGGAAAGCCCCTCCCCTCCAGGCAAGCAGAGTGTCCTTCTTTCTAATTCCTCTCTGTGCTCCGGTGCTGCTGGGGGAGAGGGAGAGAGAGTGGGGGAGGGAGAGGGAGAGAGGGGGGAGGGAGGGAGGGAGGGAGAGAGAGAGAGAGAGAGAGAGAGAGAGAGATGGCTGGCTTGGGGGGGAACTTTTGCCTTTCTTTCCTCCCACCCCAAATCCCTCTCCAGCATTCTTAGCCAGCTGCTTCTCTGCACACCCCTCTCATGTCCCTTCTTTGTTTTTTCCTTCGCTCCCCACTTAAAATGTGGTTACAAAGCATAAGATCAACATGGATCCTCAGGATCTTTGCATTGGGTCACCCCAAATTCACCATCAGATCACATAGCATGTCCATGGCTACAGCCTGCACCAAAAAATCACGCACCCACTGTTGCCTGGGGCTGCAATGGTGCAAAACGTGGTTAAAAAGCATGGATCCACATGGATCCTCAGGATCTTTGCATTGGGTCACCCCAAATTCACCATCAGATCACATAGCATGTCCATGGCTACAGCCTGCACCAAAAAAAGCACGCACCCACTGTTGCCTGGGGCTGCAATGGTGCAAAACATGGTTAAAAAGCATGGATCCACATGGATCCTCAGGAATCTTTGCATTGGGTCACCCCAAATTCACCTCCATCAGATCACATAGCATGTCCATGGGCCTACAGCCTGCACCCAAAAAAGCACGCACCCACTGTTTGCCTGGGGCTGCAATGGTGGCAAAACATGTGGTTACAAAGCATGGATCCACGGGATTCCTCCAGGGATCTTTGCATTGGGTCACCCCAAATCACCATCAGATCACATGTCTGTGGCCACAGCATGAAGCACAACAAATGATTACATCCACTGTTTTCATTCAGAATGTTTTTTCCCTTGTTTTCCTCCTCTAAAAACGATGTGCGTGTTATGGTCAGGTGCGTGTTATAGAGCGAAAAATACGGTAGTTCACCTGCAGCTGGCAAAATTCTTGCAAGGATCTTAGCCCCGCTGGCTCCATGTCAGTATAGACCAGCTTTAGAAAATATCTAGAAGGCCCTAGTTTGGCAAAAGCAGTCGTGATGCATGGCTTGCCGCGTACAGCAAAAACAGGCAGCCTTCAATTTTATGACCACCACAGTATTTGCATTGCGAGAGAGGAGTGAGTGTCTGAAGGCCCCATTCATACAATGTGTGCTCAGCCTCTGGCCTGCTTTGGTAATGGTGGCAGGCAAGGATAGAAATGTGTCCTTTGCTCCAAAGCAAAAGCGAGAGGAACACTGCTGCCCTCCACTGGAGACAGGCGGCACGGCCTCACCACCAGTCTCTGGCACCAGCCCTGCGGTGTTTGCCATTCCCACCCACCCCCCTCCCAGTTCAACTTCAAGGCAATGCCTGTGTTGTAACAAAAGGCAGTCTCTCTTGGAGAGACCCCCTAAAGACAGCCTGCAGTGGTGAACCAGATACCTCCCAAGAAGCACATGTCAGCACTCCTCACACCTGGGTTCAAATTTGAGGATTAGACAGATTTGTGGAGCTATGGAGGGCTAGTAGCCACAGTGGCCAGTCTAATGAAGCTGAATGTTGGGACGGGGGGAAAGGATTTCTTCACAACAGCGCAGTTAAAACTGCAGGAGGCAGGGACGGCCTCCAACTTGGATGGCTTTAGGAGAGGGTTGGAGAAATTCATGGAGCAGAGGGGGCTCTTGAGGGCTACCAGCCAGGATAGCTTCGCTGCTGCCAACCTAGCAGTTCGAAAGCATGCCAGTGCAAGTAGATAAATAGGTACCTCTGCGGCAGGAAGGTAAACGGCGTTTCCGTGCGCTGCTCTGGTTTGCCAGAAGTGGCTTAGTCATGCTGGCCACATGACCCGGAAAACTGTCTGTGGACACTGGCTCCCTCGGCCTGAAAGCAAAATGAGAGCCACAACCCCATAGTCGCCTTTGACTGGATTTAACCATCCAGGGGTCCTTTACTTTTTACCTTTACCTTCATAGGGCCGCGGATGGCACTGTGGTCTAAACCACTGAGCCTCTTGGGCTTGCCGATCGGAAGGCTGGCGGTTGGAATCCCTGTGACAGAGTGTGCTCCTGTTGCTCTTTCCCAGCTTGTGCCAACCTAGCAGTACGAAAGCACACCAGTGCAAGTAGATAAATAGGTACCGCTGCAGCGGGAAGGTAATCGGCTTTTCCGTGTGATCTGGTTTCCATCACAGTGTCCCATTGCACCAGTAGCAGTTTAGTCCTGCTGGCCTCATGACCCAGAAAGCTGTCTGTGGACAAACGCTGGCTCCCTCGGCCTGCAAGCGAGATGAGAGCCGCAACCCCGTAGTCTCCTTTGACTGGACTTAACTGTCCAGGGGTCCTTTACCTTTTTTGCTCTGCCTCTGCATTCGGAGGGAGCAATGCTCCTGAAAGGCAGCTGCTGGAACCACCGGAGGGGAGAGATGCTCTTGTGCTTGGATCCTTCTTGAGGGTTTCCCACAGGCACCTGGTTGGCCACTATGAGAAAAGGACACTGGCCCAGTCCTCTTTTAAAGCCATCCAGGCTGGTGCCCATCACTGCCTCCTGTGGCAAGGAGTTCCACAGTCTGTGCTGAATCTTCACACATTCAGCTTCGCTGGATATTCACGATTTCTTGTGTTAAGAAAGAGAGAGAAAATCTTGTTCTCTGTCCACTTTCTCCATGCCAGGCAGTTTTTGTACACACGTCGGTCATGTTCTTTTTCCTCTAAAGGCTCTCTCTTTTTTTCTAGTGGTGAGAGTGGGGGACCCCAGGACCTGGGAGGACCAGGGTTCAGATCCCCACTCGGCCATGAAGCTCACAGAGTCCTTGCCTCTCAGCCTAACCGACCTCACAGGGTTGTTGTGGGGATGGGGGAAAAGAGCAGGAAAAGAACCACGCACATCACGTTGGACAACTTGGGAGGGAAGTTTAGGTATAAATGCAATACATAAAAGTAAAAATGAATTTGTTTTTTACCTGTAAGACCAATTGCAGTTGTTAACAGTCGTCAACAGGTTTACCACACCTATCAGCCAATCACCCATTCCCACCACCCTTCTGAATAATAATAATAATAATAATAATAATAATAATAATAATATTATTCCCTGCCCACCTGGCTTTGTTTCCCCAGCCATCCTAGGTGGCTTCCAATAAAACATTAAAATGCAGTAGTCCTTCAAACATTTAAAGCTTCCCTAAACGGGGCTGCCTTCAGATGTCTTCTAAAAGCCTGGTAGTTGTTCTCTTTGACATCTGGTGGGAGGGCGTTCCACAGGGTGGGTACCACTACCCCTCCCCACTCTCTCACGATATATAAGGGTCTGGTGACTTCTGTTTCAGTGTATCTGAAGAAGTGTGCATGCACATGAAAGTTCATATCAAGAACAAACTTGTTGTTGTTGTTTAGTCATGTCCGACTCTTCGTGACTCCATGGACCAGAGCACGCCAGGCACTTCTGTCTTCCACTGCCTCCCGCAGAACAAACTTAGTTGGTCTCTAACGTGCTACTGGACCGTTTTTTTATTTTATATATATATTTCTACTGTGCCCGACCTACCTAAATGAGTTTGTTGCAAGAAGTGCCAAGGTGGGCAGGGTAGAGCAACCGAGAGGGGAGCAACACACACACACACACACACACACACACACACGGACAAATGGCACTAACCTTCCTGCGTGTGCGATTGTGTTTTGTTAGCACAGGGGGAAAGACTTGCGCCCGGTGGAACTACAGCACAGCCTCCCTCCAGGCGCCTCCGTTGGACTACTCATTTCGGGGCATCAGCTTCATGCAAGGTATGGCATAACCCGGCGGTTCCCAAACTCACCCCCACAGCTCCATAAACTCACCCCAGCGCCCCCTACTCTACCCTATTTAAAAGCCATATTCAGAACAATGGCTCAGGTTTGTTCATTTTGGTGAATTAATTCAACTCGTTTTAAATGCATTTTGAATGAACTGAATTACATCGGGTTATTGCCTTCCTAAGGGACGCGGGTGGCGCTGTGGGTTAAACCACAGAGCCTAGGACTTGCTGATCAGAAGGTCAGTGGTTCGAATCCCCGCGACAGGGTGAGCTCCCGTTGCTCGGTCCCTGCTCCTGCCCACCTAGCAGTTTGAAAGTGTGTCAAAGTGCAAGTAGATAAATAGGTACCGCTCTGGCGGGAAGGTAAACGGCGTTTCCGTGCGCTGCTCTGGTTCGCCAGAAGCGGCTTAGTCATGCTGGCCACATGACCCGGAAGCTGTACACCGGCTCCCTCAGCCAATAAAGCAAGATGAGCGCCGCAACCCCAGAGTCGGCTACGACTGCACCGAATGGTCAGGGGTCCCTTTACCTTTACCTATTTCCTGCCAAAGTGGGTCGTGCAAACTGTTATTATGAATAATGCTTTTTATAGGATAGGGGGCACTGCAAATGAGTTTCTGGAACCGAGGGGGACGGTGGCCCCCTAAAACCTGGGAACCCCTGGTCTCAAGCGTTACAAACAGGCAGCGGCTGCATGGTGGCAATGGAAATGTCCTCTGCGCGTGCTCAGAGGCACTGGCTGCTGCTTCAGCAGAGCTTAGCCGCGCAGGAAGGACGCACCGCAAGTGCTCCTTTCCTTCTTCCCTGAACCTGCCTTGCCCGTTCTCTGCCACCCCCAGACCTGCTGACGGAGGAGCCGAGGGCCGGCCTGAAGCCCATCCATCGGTCCGAAGGGGGCCGGCTGCTGACGCAGGCCATCTGGCTGAACAACAACACCCTCGGGGAGCTGACCCAATTCACGGAGACTGTGGGCAAGCTCCTGGAGTACCCAGAGGACATCTACTGGATCGACCTCTCCTTCAACGACCTGCCCATCATCGACCCGGTAGCGTAGTCCGTTCCCCGGAGCTCCTTTAAACAGATTTCACTCTTGCTACGCAAAGCAGATCAACGCACCGGCAACACCGTCCTTGCCGCCATCAGATAAGTTTGTTGGGGGGGCCATCAAGATGCTAACTGGGGCGCAGCTGCCCCGCTTGAGTGCTGGAGCTATTATTTATTTTGTTTATTTGATTACCCGCCCTTCACTCTGAGCTCCCAGGGCAGGTTACGGCATTAAAACACAACATCAGAACCCATTTAAAACAGCTTGGAATCCCAACAATAACGTCAAAAGGCAGGATGAAGAGGTGCAGTGAAGGCGGCAGACAGATCTCTGTGGGGAGGGAGTCCCACGGCTTAGGGGCTGCCACAGAGAAGGCCCTTTCTCCCTGGGCCTCTGGGGGTGGAGGAACAAACAAAAGGGCCCCCCTCTTCCAATCACAGCACCCAAGAGGATCTGTAGGGAAAGAGGCAACCTTTCAGATATCTGGAGTTTGTGTCATTTAAATACCAAATTGTGCACCTTGAATGGGGCCCGGAAACCGGGAGAAGCTGTTTTTAAAACAATAAAACTTTGTTTTATTAAAAACAAAGTTTTAAATAAAAATTATATTAATACAACAAACCAACCAGGGAAAAGGTATGTGATCTAAATAGAGCCCCAGACTGTGTTTTGAACTAACGGAAGTCACCTTCAAGGGCAGCCCCACGGAGAGTGTGTTGCAGTAGTCCAGCCTGGATGTTGCCAGAAGGGGGCTGGATTTGGAAACCGGTAGGGATCTCCGCCGAGCGCAGCACCCGGCGGATTGCAGCCTGCCCGGCTGCTGTTGCCTTTCTGAGCCCGTCGCTTGCCGGCCTCTCTGCCCAGGTGCTGACTTCCTTCTACAACCTGCGCCACCTCAACCTTCACGGGAACGCCATCCAGCAGCTTTCAGAGGTGGACAAGCTGGCGGTGCTCCCGCACCTGCGCAACCTGACGCTGCACGGAAACCCCGTCGAGGAGGAGAAGGGCTACAGGTAAACACTCGCCTTCCAAAAAGAAAACCCCCAACCCTCGGGGAACAGGAGTGTGGGGCACACAGGACGGGAAGCGGCAGGGGCTGGAGTTTTAAGGAGGGGAGGGAGCCGGGCAGGCAGGCTGTCCTCCAAACGCTGACCCCGGCACTGTACTTTGCACGTTGCGTAGGAGCTACGTCCTGTCCACTCTGCCCCACTTGAAGTCCTTCGATTTCAGCGGCGTCACGAAGCTCGACCGCACCACCGCGGCCGTCTGGCGGCGCATGAACATCAGGCCCAAGAAAGTCCGGAAGAGAAGGGACGACTACTGATGGCCCCACTGCTCTGGCAGCAGGGAGAGGAAACCCCTGCAACCCCCAGCCTCAATTGGGAATAAAGAGTTAGAGCACCTTGGCATGGCAGAGCATGGATGGGGGAAGGGAGAGGGCGGGGGGGGGGATGCGGGGCTGGGAGCCTTTTCCTGCAGTTGTGCCCAACGGCCTCAGCCTCCCCGCTTTCCGGGATGCGTCAGGCTGGGGAATCTGTGGTTCATGGGATCCTGGAACTGTGCTGTCGGAAGGGACACGCAAGGATCATCTAGCCCAATCCCATGTAGTGCAGAAATCGCAGGTAAGGAATCCCTGGCAGATGGCCCCCACCACCACTACCTACGATTAAAAACCTCCAAGTTAGGAGAGTCCATCATTTTCCAAGAGAGTCCGTTCCACTGCCAGGCGGCTCTTAGTGCCAGAAAGTTCTTCCTGACGTTTAGTCGGAATCTCCTTTTCTTGCCGTTCGAAGCCGTTGGGTTTCTGGAGCAGCGGAAAACAAGCAGTGTACACTTGGGCACCTGCAGCGCTCCAGGAGATCAGAGAATTGTAGCGCCGGGAGAGTCATCCAGCCCCAGCTTCTGCAAACCGAAGGTGCGCAAGGCACCTTCGTTTTTCCTTTTTGTTTCAGATGTCCGGAGCCAGCCAGCCAGCCTGCCTTTCCTGATGTGCTAGACTACCCATTCCCATCAGCCCCTGCATGGTGGCAGCCATCTTGGAGGGCAGGGGAAGGCTGCCCTTGGCCAAAGGGAAGCCACTGCAAACCCAACAAGGATTCTGGCACAGAGTAACAGACGCACAGAGGATGCAGCCACTGTGGATTTAAAGCAGCTGCCCTCCAAATTCTCCTAACAATGGGGTGAGGTGGTGGGGGGACGACAGGGAATGACACCTCCAAGACCCTTTCCTTGTGCCAGCCTTGAGTCCCTTCTCCTCCTTACCCCCCCTTCCCCATGGAAGTGCAGCCCTCACACGCTGGGAGTTTGGTTCCCCCCATCCCTGGCTCAGTGGCAGAGCACCCGCAGGGAGTCCTGGGTTCAGATCCTGGCATCTCAAACTCCTAAGTGGCAGGAAAGACCTCTGCGCCAGAGAGCGCCTCCTGGTCCTTACGGAGCTTGAGGGAGAGTCGCCTGACCTGCTGCAAGACCCGTTTCCGTTCAGTGGCGTTTGTGCGGGGGAATCGCTTTTTGCAGGGTGGCGCCCCCACTGCTGTGTATCTTCCTTGGCGTTTGCCGGTTTCTTTTCCAATAAAAATGCTTGTCCAGGTGGCACCAGGTGTATCAGCTCTCCAGTTCTGTTGTTTACTTAAAGAGAGTACCCAGATCCCAGTACCCACCTCCTCCCTTATTCCTGAGCTTGCAGGGCCCACGTTCCCCAACTCCACCCCACACGGCAGCTCCTGTTTCCTCTCGCTCCCTTAACGTAGGAAACTAGGAAAAGGCTGCTGGATCAGGCCGGTGGCCCATCTAGTCCAGATTCCTCACTCCACCCCCCCCCTTTTCCCAATAAATCTTTATTAATTTGAATTAAAAAATATCAAAATGCCGCGTTACCCCCATTTCTTCCTCCAACAACCGCTCCTTTTCGGAGAGCCCCCAGGCAGAAAAAACTGGAAGGCCAGCATCCTCTTCTCACAAGGGGCCAACCAGGTGCTCCAGTGGGATATACAGTAGCAGGATCCAAGCCCAAGAGCAACTCTCCCCTCCTGAGGTTTCCAACTGGGGAGGCAGAGCACAGCCATCCTGGCTAATAGCCACCTCCTCATCCATAAATTTCTCTAGTCTTTTAGGGTAAAGGTAAAGAAGAGGAGTTTGGATTTGATATCCCGCTTTATCACTACCTGAAGGAGTCTCAAAGCGGCTCACAATCTCCTTTCCCTTCCTCCCCCTCAACAAACACTCTGTGAGGTGAGTGGGGCTGAGAGACTTCAAAGAAGTGTGACTAGACCAAGGTCACCCAGCAGCTGCATGTGGAGGAGCGGGGAAGCGAACCCGGTTCACCAGATTACGAGTCCACTGCTCTTAACCACTACACCACACCGACCATTAGGTCCAGTCGCGGACAAATCTGGGGTTGTGGCGCTCATCTCACTTTATTGGCCAAGGGAGCTGACGTGCAGCTTCTGGGTCATGTGGCCAGCATAACTAGGCCGCTTCTGGCAAACCAGAGCAGCGCACAGAAACACCGTTTACCTTCCCGCCAGAGTGGTACATATTTATCTACTTGCACTTTGAGGTGCTTTCGAACTGCTAGGTTGGCAGGAGCTGGGACCGAGAGCCAGTGTGGTGTAGCTCCTCCACATGCAGCTGCTGGGTGACCTTGGGCTAGTCACACTTCTCTGAAGTCTCTCAGCCTCACTCACCTCACAGAGTGTTTGTTGTGGGGGAGGAAGGGAAAGGAGAATGTTAGCCGCTTTGAGACTCCTGAAGGGGAGTGAAAGGCAGGGTATCAAATCCAAACTCTTCTTCTTCAACAGGAGCTCACCCCGTCGCGGGGATTTGAACCGGCGACCTTCTGACTGGCAAGTCCTAGGCTCTGTGGTTTAACCCACAGCACCACCCTGTCCCTCTCTAGTCTTTTAAAGCCATCCAAATTTGTAGCTGTCATACCTCCTTTGGACACCCCATAGCCTAACTACGCACTGTGTGAAGGCCTTTCTTTTGTCTGTCCTGAATCCCCCAACACTCCGCTTCATCGGATGATTGAGAATTCTGGTGTTCCTCCCTTCCTGCCTTTCTCTGTGCCGTGCATCGCTTTATAAGGTTTTTTTTTTTATCAAGTCCCCTCTTCCTCGTCTTCCCTGTTAACGTAAAAGCCCCCCCATGCTGCAAAGTTTCTTCCGGGGGGGGGGGGTCGGGGGTCGCTCCATCCCCTGGATTGACCGAGTCGCGCGACAAAACAACCAGGAGCCTTTTGCGTGGATGATGAACGTACTTATATTTTATCTACTTTAGCAAAAAAAAAAAAAAAAGGAAACCAAAAAATTAAAACGAAACGACAGTTGAGCCACTTAAAAAGAGGGTGTTGATGGGTGAGACACCAAAAACAGAGGAGCTGCAGGGTGTGTCCCGCTCCCCCCCCCCACAAGCTGCTCTTTGGCTTCTTCCCTCCCCTCCTTCCCATTAGGAAGAAGAAGACAACCCAACGCACCCTTCGTTGGTTCCCTCCCAAATCCTAAAAAGAAGGCCCAGCGTTCTGCGGGCAGCATCGGGAAAGTAATGCAGGTTGAGCCCCGAGTGGAAAGGGGCAGGCAGGAGCTGCAACGCATCTCAGCCCCCTAACCCAGAATTTCAGAGCCTTATTGGGGGGGGGGGGAGGTAAATAATGAAAGCGAGCACAGCTGCCCTCCCCCCCCCCGCCATCAGTGGGCCTCAGGATCCCGTCCCCTCGATAACCAATAGTGCGGTGCTCACCTCTTTAGGAGCTGGGCTTGGCATGCAGTGTTCAGGGCCTGCCCCCTCCTCAAACCTATTCATGTACAGGCTGACACCAATATGCCCCCCCCCCACAAACACAGGAGGAGGAAGAAACGTGGGTCCGACCAGCCCCGGGGAGCTGGCAGCTGGCAGATGCGACTGTCTCTGGGGCGCAAGTGGCAGGAAGTTCAGTGTATCGCTGATCCGTACAAGTCCCACTGCAGTGAAAAGCCGACCGTGGCGAAGGAGAGGAAAGGGAAAGTGGGAGGTTGTTAAAAAACAAGAAGTTACAGACGTCTGAGGGATCGGCATCAGGGGATCCCAAACTGTACAACCAGTTCTTCTTTCGCATCCACTCGGATCTGGGAGAGAGCACTGAAGGCGTACGCAGCTATCCGGGAGACCTGGGGGAGACGGGGAGAAGAGAGGGGTGAGCCGTATACAGGGCACTCCAGGAGAAGATTCACGTCACCCAAAAACCAGCATATTCTAGGGGGCAAGATTTGAACTCTGGGTTCGGTGGGGGGCGAACCAAGCCTTTTTCAGTTTTAGACAAGGCCCGTATGCAAACTCAAAAGTGCCAGTGATTCAGCTTTTGCCAAAACGGGGACCTCTAGATGTTTTGGAATCCGAACACCCATCAGCCCCAACCAGCACACGGAGGCCAAAACATCCCATGGTCCCCCGCGTGGCGAAGGCTGAACTGGATGTTGCTGGTGCGCAAGGCCACAGGTGAGGACGCAATGCCTCTGCTGCCAGGAGCAGCCTGTTTGCTGCCCGAAAGCAAAAATTCCGGGCAAAAGTTGACTCTCTCTTCAGAGCTGGGGATGCAACAGTCCTCCACCGCACCCCGCGGCAGCAGACTAGCTCTGGGCAGACCACACAAGCTCACGTTCCTGGCTGCTTTTGGCCCTGCGGAATTTACCGCCCGAGGCAGCTGCTTGCCTCTGCCTCCTGGAAGGGCCGGCCTTGCCTGCCCCCAATGCCTTCTTGTTTTTAGGGAGGACGGTGTCCCCTCACACCGTGGTCGTGCGACATCTACCCCGCCCCTTGTGGCTTCCAGGGGCAGATTTCACCCACCCAAAGTGCTTGTGAACATGCAGAGCGGCAGAAAGAGAAAACGGGGAGGTAGGGCCTAGGTTTGTCTGTTTTTGTTCTTATTTTTCTTACACATTTTGTGCTGTTTATATTGTAATTTTACGTTGTGATCTGCCCTGAGATCTATGGGTATAGGGCGGTATGCAAATGTAAAAAAAAAGTAAATACAGAAACTATAAAGGTAAAGGGACCCCTGACCATTAGGTCCAGTCGCGGATGACTGTGGAGCTGCGGCGCTCATCTCGCTTTACTGGCCAAGGGAGCCGGCGTAGAGCTTCCGGGTCATGTGGCCAACATGACTAAGCCACTTCTGGTGAACCAGAGCAGCGCACAGAAATGCCATTTACCTTACTGCCAGAGTGGTACCTATTTATCTACTTGCACTTTGACCTGTTTTCAAACTGCTAGGTTGGCAGGAGCAGGGACCGAGCTATCGGGATTCAAACCGCCGACCTTCTGATCGGCAAGTACTAGGCTCTGTGGTTTAACCCACAGCGCCACCCACATCCCACAAAAACTGTAGAGACTGCTTAATCAGAAAACTCTCTGAAGCAGTGTACATAATGTGGCAGGACACGTCGATCCGGGACGAGAAAGTGGACCTGGATCCACCTGCAGATCCATCCAGCCCAGTTGTCCTCCTGGGCTCATCCAGCGACCCACAAAAGCAGGGGAAGGCAGCCAGAAGCGTCTCCCACGGCTGCTTCTCAGCAACCAGTCCTGAGAGGCACCATGGCAGCAGCTGCTGATAACTGCAGAGTGACTCTTGCCAGCTCCCTTTTTAAAAAGAGGATCTAATGTATTGATTAGATACTGAAGGGTGGCGTGGCCCAGCCCTGCAGGTGAGCATCAATGGTGCACGTGGCCAGCTCCCTCTGCCAGCTTCAAGAGCCAAAGCAGGGCTGGAATTCAGAGTTCCCCTCCACAACAACCCTGCGAGGGAGGTTCAGCTGATGCCCCAAAGGTCGCCCATGGAGGGAGCTTCATGCCTGAGTGGGGATTTGAACCCTAGTCTTCCAAGTCCTAGCCTGACACTCTACCCACTATGCCACGCGAGTTCTCTTTCGGGATGACACAGTTGTGGTCCAAACCTACCACCTGCAGGGCCACAGATGTTCTCCAGCCGTGCTTCAGGGGAACGGCGGAAGTGGGCGTCAGAGCCTCGTGGCCCTGCGGGGAGAGTACGCACCTGCTGCAAGTCTGCGAAGGGAACGGGGTCGCTGGCAAGCACTTGATGGGGCTGCGTGGTGAGCGATGGGAGCGTCGAGAGCTTCTTCCACTGCATCAGGTTGCTGCTCAACATGGCCAGCCTGGTGCTGGAAGGAGAAGAAAAGGGAGTGAGTGTGTGAGAGAGAGCAAGAGAGACTGACCAGGAGGGAGCAGAAAGAAGAAAGTGGGCATCTAGACTTTGCTCTAAGGTGTGGGACAACGGGTTCTGGGGACCACCTGTGGTTCAGGTCATTTTATGTTTGTAAAAATACAGCCCTACAGCATCTAGTACAGCGTATTACAATTGTTATAAAAGGCAAAAATAAAGAAAAATAAAGAAAAGATCACTAAATGGTCCACTGAGATGCTCAGAATTTTTCAGCGGTCCAGGGTGGGGAGTTTGGGAACTGCTGCCCTAAGGCCGATCTGGGCATAGCTGCCAACGTTTCCCTTTTTTAAGGGAAATTCCCTTATTCCAAATAGGATTCCTTGCAAGAAAAGGGAAAAGTTGACAGCTATGGATCTGGGTGTTTTCCAGCAGACACTTCTGGCTCC